CACAGTGATGGGGGGTCACAGTGATGGGGGTCACAGTGATGGGGGGTCACAGTGATGGTGGAGATGAATTCACAGAAGTGACGTGATTTAATCATAACAAAACTAATTAAACTAATTGATTGAACAGAAGTTAAACTCATTCATGTCCAGTTTCTCAGTTCAATCTTTAAAAAAATCAAATAAATCGGTTCAATTCTAATGACGTTCATCGTTTTTTCAGCACTTTAATATTAAATTTAAACCGTTTTATTCTTTATTTCAGAGCAGAAAGTCAGACTTTGTTTTTATTTTATTAAAACTCTAACCCTAACGACGGTGGTTTGGGTTAGTGTGACTAACTAGTTCTGTAACTGCTTCAAATCCACAAAATACAGTTTACAGTCGACTCCATCATCTGTTCAATTCCCTGCTGCCTGTGTGTGTGTGTGTGTGTGTGTGTGTTAATCTGTGTGAAGCTCACAGCAGCAGGATCTGTGTGATCTAACCAGTAAGAGGCTTAATGTCTGACTGGGAGACGCAGCGCCGCGGCGTCTGGAGGAGATAGGAAAACCGTCACGCGTTTGGAGAAATGTGCGTGCTCCTAAATTTGTGGCGAGCGTCGACGTCGGTCGTTTTAAATCTAACCTGAACGTTTAAACTTCAATCTTCCTCCTGGAAACTGTTGACATTCACAAAACTCAGGAATGTGATTTAAAAGTGACGGAGAGAAGTTTAGAGTTGATTTGGAAATGAAGAGCTAGCAGTTAGCAGTTAGCAGTTAGCAGTTAGCAGTTAGGCTAACGGGGGTTGGAATTAGTTTAAAAAAAAGCTAATTGTTAGCAACAGCTAAATATTTACACACATTAGCATTATATGTCCAAAAGAATGTAAGTGGTTAGCATAAGTATAGCATGAAGCTAACTGAAAAAAAATAATTCGAATGTTTGTCCTGTAAAATTAGAACATTTTTTGTTTATAGGTCATTAATAGATAAATTGATAATAGAGTTTATATGAATAAGTGAAAATTTAAGGTTGAATTGAGACCAAAACTTTAAACTTTAATTAATGTGACTGAAATCATGAACAGGTGAAGGTTGACCTGGGCCAGTGGTAAAAATAACGTTAACGAAGGTTGACCTGGGCCAGTGGTAAAAACCTCAACATTAACTTGACTCCAACAGTTAGTTGGTTAGTCAGTCTAGTGATAGTTAGTTTAACCAGAGGTTAACTAAACCCGTTTTCATCGACGTTGTCGCAGTGAAACACGGAGTGAAGACAAAGACAGAAGGTTGAACCAGCACTGATTAATACCAGCTATTAGACCATAACACCGGATCATCGGCGCCTCCCTCTGGCCAAATTATGGTGACATGATGAAGCGACTGTATTAGCCATGGAAGAGTGCTAGTGATGCAGATAATAGCCACGTCCCAGGAGAGCTGGGGAGGGAATTAATGCTGCTGTCTGACACACACACACACACAAATAAACACACACAAACTCTGGTCGATGACACTGTCATTTACACACACACACAAAGGCAGTGAAGAGGACATGATCATAGATGAATGGACGTACAGGACACCCCCCCCTACA